TGATAGTCGCTTCAGTTTGAGAACATGCACTGTACTGCATCGTTGTGGTCAGTTGTATCCACTTTAAATTCATTGTTTTTAGATGACTACAATTTAGCCGAGGAAATGAAAGTCTGTTTAACCTCAGTACTCGGTTACAACAAGAAAATTACTACGGACGATAAAACATTATCATGTGAAGCGAACAAGCCGAAAAGTAAACTGTTCAACTTACTAAATCACTTTTGTGTTAGGGCTGCTAAATGCAAACTGAACGGCTATTTATGCACCTCTGAATAAGTAGAGGTTGCTGAGGTTGAAGCGGGATTTTCCCCGGTAGATTTTTCAGTTGTCAAAATTTTGACTGGAAGATTCTCACCGGTAGCGAAGTATGTACCTATTTAATCAATGTTCATATGTAGTTCATCGAAAACAGAGGTTTTCTCACCACCGTTTCAATGTAAATCAACTGAAATTAATAAACCGTAAGTTGGATTTAATGTAATTATGACAAGAAAAGGTTGTGCAGTGATGACAGTAAAATTTCTAAAATGGTTCTGGAAGCAGTCACTGAACTGTCGAGCAGGATTGGTAAACTGATCGCTTTACATGTACGCTTATCCATGGGTGTAATGGACAGACGTACCGAGCAAGTAGATAACTCAACTATTGCTTTCCCATTAAGAACACATGATGAGTTGAGTTCTTTTGAAGTTGGTTAAGATGAGCTAAAGTTCCGTGATAAGTTCGTAAGTTGTAACAGATGTTTGAACAAATTTTAGGTGGACAGATTGTACGAGCTCATATCCGATGACCCTCGTAAATCAGCAAAAGCCTGTCTAACTCACCTCTTGTCGCCGGAACTGACGATCACATACACTTTGCACAGGACGAAAAGTAAATTTGGTATTAGTATGTACAAATCTTACCGTACGGTGTAAGTACGTCCACACCACTGTATTAATATATTTGTAGGTTTTCTGCTTTCCAGATTCCGAAGTGTGACCTGTCCAGAAAAGGATGCAATACATGCCATGAATGTTGCAAGCCAGACTCTCTTGAATGACGCAAGAGATAAAGTAAATAAGCGTGGATGGCGATCCAAAGAAAGGGTGGGCTAAAAGCACCTTACATGTTCGCTATAATACACTTTAAATATGGTACTGGATACATGAGATCCCCATCTTATAAGTGTATTTCTTGCATCTTTGGACAGCATCAGAGCAAATCATTGAGTGTGTGGAGCAGCCCTCCTGAATCTAACACTTTCTGTCCAGCTTGGGTCCATTAGATTTCGCTGATTCCAAGAACCGCGAAATTGTATCTCTTCGTTTTCGTAGCTCTCCAATTAGTCCTCCTGGTCTCCCACATTGTCCTAACAGTTCATGCACCCATAAAAATTGTTGCTCTGATTATTAGAAGAGGCATAGGCTTCTTAACTTCCGAAGAATCTCGACTTCCTCCGTGGGGCATCATATTTCTTCTGAATGAAGACCCTTGAACTAGAAGGGAAAAGTTCAAATTGTCTCTTCTAGTAAGCGTTTTTTAACTATGTTGTTTTTTAAAGTATGGGTTAACAATAATAATTTATTCTTATATTACAGTTTGTTACTTGAGGCATACCAGTTTACAGGCAAGATCAAATTGTTACAAAAGATACAATTTTCCCTGTAGTAAATTACTCAGCTTGCTTGATATTTTATAAGATATGAATGTAGATGGTTTTAGTAAGAATCTTATTGAAAGTGTCGTAGTCGGCGTGCTTTATGAAGGTTGAGTTGCGACGTGCAACTCATGGTCGAGAAAACATCCATATGAAGTTGGGGCTTCTAGAAGCCGCAGACTTATTTCCCTCTGGAATATACGGGGATTTGATGATGGTGCAGGATTAAGTCACACGTCCATGATCTGTTTCCGGTGGCATATCTGAAGGGGCAGAAAAAGTGCAGGAAAAAGAAGAAACGAGAAGCAGAGCAGACAATGTTCATGGATGAATAGTTAAGGCATGACTACTCAGTCTATTTCCTTTTTGGTAGGGTACTTACTTAGCAAGGGCGTTCTAATATGCTGAAGAAAATAAGTGTAAACACGGTATGAGTGGTTGAGAAAAAAGCTGAAAACATGGTTATGTGTAGATTTTATAGGGTTTAGAGCAAGCTTCGGTTTTAGAGAATTGTCTGGTTTGCTTGTAGCAGGATTAATCGGTAGGAAGCGAAACCAATTCAGCGTTCTAAACACGATTTAATGAGTTATTTTACTTAATAAATCAGCGTTAATACCATTGGGTTGATGACTCTATACCCAACCCTCCTCCTTTACCCGGTCTTGGGATCGGTATTAACCCTAGAAGAGGTATAGGCGAAGTTCCACTCAGATTAGATCTGACTAGGCGCGCCTAGTCAAATATAATCCAAAAGTGTCCAATGTAATATATTTTATCGCACATCATGACGGCTGAGGTCGCTAGCAACTTTAGACTACCTAAAACTATCGAATGTGGTCTTCACAACTGCAGATTTTATAATAACACGAATTGAAAATGTATGTTGACAAACATAATGTAATATCGCAGTAAAAACTGTACGTATGTATTCTCACCTGGTTTTTCTGTGATTTCTATAGAAATTTTAAAAGTATTGCGTGAAAACGAGTTTGCACAAACTGTTTTATGATTATTGTTAAATTTTGGGGGAAAACCCCAAAGTCAGGGGAAAATTTGTAGAAAAACGCGGAATTCCCAAAATTTTTCACAATTTTATTAATAAGCATAAGCTCACTTCCCCAAAGTGTAATAAGATTCTAGGGGAATTTTGGGGCTTTTATGCCATTTCCCCAAAGTTTACTATGGCGGCTTCCTTAAAATTGGGAGCTCGAGTTTGTTATTCTTAATCATTAGAGACATGAGTATCTCGATTTCCATCCTCCAGCATCACTGAAAAAGATTTTTTAGGTGTATGCGACATCATAACTTAGGTTTTCCACCACTGAATTTTCCAGTGGTAACTTTCTGTCCTATGTACATAGGACAGTCACGTGAGTGGGTAAAAACCGAACATCATCTACAAAATATATTGTGCCAACTGCGAAAAACACTACATCGGACAAAGCAGACACCCTCTCCATCTTCGCCTGCATGAACATCAATTGACGATCAAACGCCATGAAATACTTATTTATTCACTTAAATACATAAACCTTGGTACAGAGAGGCACCATATAGATAAGCGCCACATAAATCATCCAGTTTGTGTGGGGGCAGGGATACTGCCCGGGTGCTCAAACCGAAGCAAACATAACATATACTCGCTCGTAACAATGCTTGTGGTCGCATTCGACCGGAAAATGTTGAGATCATGGATAGAGATAATTCTAGAAAGAACACTAGAGAATTTTCAGAATCTTGGGACTCAAGTCAATCAGCAATCGACAAATACATCGAAATCGATCAAATTTATCAACCAGTCAGAAAAATTATGGACAAATATTGGACCAAGAATCAAATCATCGGGAGATTCAATCAAAATAAGGAAGTGAACAATGAAAGGTTAAAGGTGAACAAGGAATAATCAAGGTCGAGATCTACAGGATAAGCTGTGAACTATATGTGGAGAAATCCGATCACTTCACTTCTACCTGAAGCCTGTGCTGATGATGTCGTTCAGAATAACAGTGAAAGCTCCACGAACAGACCATCTAACTTCAAAGAACAAAACTCCACCAAAATCATCCATCTGAGCTACCTATCTTCTCCACAGTTAGTATGTATCAGAATTCACTTCTGGCTGAAGTTGTTCAAGTAACTTCTCTAGAGTCCTTCAATAGTGCATATACTTAAGGATTCAGTACAGTACATCATATTAATTTATTCATAAGTCTTATTTCATATAGCTAGGTCCTTAGCTGGAGGCATCAGTAATCAAATATTATTATGCTCGGGAGGTCGGTAATCAGAAACCTCTTTTATCCCACCTAGAACCATTTAAGCCATTCTGAATAAGCTTCCAAGTTTAAGTGGCGATGTTCAGTTATTAAAATATCTACTACTCTATGATTCGCTTTTACAATTTCATCTCGCTGTGCTGACGAAGCATGGCAACCTGAACGTATGTATATGCGTACCAGTTTCTATTTGGTATTTGACCGACTGATTGGCGTCTAGTGTTTAAACTGGATTTACGTAGCAAACGTAAACTATTAGGTAGTGTCTTTTACCACCATACAGGAAATAGCTCACACACAACTTAGGAAACTCCTCTCTAGTAGTATCAAGTCGAAAAAGATTTAGGAGTCCTGGTGCCCCATGATTTAAGGTCATATGGTAACTGTGACAACAATGCCTTCCGAGCAAACCTTGCACTGGTAACGTTGAAGCGCATTTTTGGACAGTTTGACGGACGAACTTTCCATACAATCTTCATCCGTCCCCATTTAGAGTATGGAAACATAGTACTCCCTCCCTCACTCCAAAAGGACAAGGTCACTTTGGAGCGTATCCAACGGCGAGCCACGAAATCAGTTCGAGGTCTCAAATCTAAACCTTACGAAGAGCGCCTCCAATCACTAGATCTTTACCCATTAGAGTATAGGCGTCTTAGAGGTGATCTTCTGATGGCTTATAGCATCCTTAACACTTCTGGACATCCTCTTAAACACCTACTAAAGCTTGGGTCGAACACTAACCTAAGGGGTAACACCCAGAAACTGGAGACACAACATAGCAAAACGGAATGTAGACATAACTTCTACTCCTTAAGAGTTATCAAAAGCTGGAATTCGCTGCCAGCCGAGCTAGTCCAAACGAATTCTCAGGAGTCCTTCAAGAGGCAACTTGACCAATTCTTAAGGACCAAGGACAGCATCACACTATGATTTACCAATTTCTTTTCCTCTTTTATTGTTAACATACCTAGGTTCCTGCCTGGAGCATTTGGTGATCTCTTGCTACTAGAGACGGAAGCCTGTTAAGCGTAAGCTCCTTCGATTCCGTCCACAACCATTTGAACCATTTGAATCTGGCGGCCTGCTTGAATATCTGGGTTACCTGTTTCTGCCATCTAATTATTCAACAAGTTATCTGTTTTTACATTTGTTTTAACTTATCATTATGTCTATTAGTCGCATATTCTATTTAGGCGCTTTTATAAAAAGCCTACGACCTTTCGCTGCACAAGTTACAAAAAGTACTATAAAAGACATCGTGAAAGGTTGGCAGTATGCGTGAAAGAGAATGAACGTTACTCGTCGATCTTCGTTTGTGTTTTTTCAGTTTTCAAATGACTTTATCAACTGTCTTACTCTAAGATGTCGTCCAAAACATCCGAATTAATACAAATATGTCTATGTTAACAATAGTTACGTGACTCCACACTGTACATCATCTGCGCTATCTGTTTTCGCTGATGAATTCACTGAGTTCGTTGTTACTGCCTTCAGTGATTCACTTTCAGTTGTATCTGGTGATTTCAGTTCATGTGACTGTAGCTTCCTCACGTCACTAGGTCAACAAAATGTAGTAGATTTTCCTACCCGTTTGGATGCTAATCTAGACTTCGTCTTCATTAATCACATGGATATATATGTGACTCGTAAACGTGCTCCATTGTCTAGCTCAGATCACTGTATAATTCGTGTTCTACCTAAAGTATATGGAAAGCATGGGAAGAGTACACTCTTACATCAAACCAAGAAAGTCAAATATAGGAATTACTCAGAAGAAAATATCAGAAATCTAAAAAACACGTTTCATACGACTAACTGGGAATTATTTACAGATGACTCACTGGAAAACACTACTGATGTTATCACTTGTTACCTTAAATTCTGTTCCAATATTTCTTGTCACACTGAAACCATTTTTGTAAGTTTTGATCGACTTACATCTTCACAACTAAAACGACTACGGAGGATGAAAGAAAGAATGTACAAGGAAGAGAACTCTAATGAAGTTCATAAGCTAAATGGTCTGATAAACCTAGAGATTAGACGTCTCAACTTTATGTTTACTCAAAAACTCTTGTCTTAGAAAAACTCTCCAAGTATGTGGAAACTCTTTAAAGAACTTACAGGTGACAGACAGATTAGGAGCGATAACCAGCTGAATGTTTGTGACTTAAATAAGTCTTTTGTACGTCAGTCATCTGATGTAATGCTCCCTTTATCCACAGGTTTAAAGAATAGCTGTGTTCCTAGTTTCACTGAAACTGATGTACGAAGATGTCTCCAGTCACTTAATTCATCTCGATGTTTGGGACCTGATGGTATCCCAAACATCCTTTTCAAAAAGTATGCTGACGTCCTATGTTATCCGTTCACAACTATCTTTAACAGATCCTTCTCATCTAATCACATACCGAAAATGTGGAGAAATATGAAGATAATCCCTGTATCCAAGAAAGCATCTGGTGATAAGAATGTAAAATTTAGACCTAATGCAATAAATTCACCCTTTCTCAAAACGATGTAAAAGTTATTAATACTTCCACTTCAGCCTGAGATAAAAGAGCATATTGATCCATATCAGTTTCTCTACGGATGCAAAAGAAGCACCTTAGATGCTGTTGCTGTTCTGCATCACAACATAGTGTTCAACTTAGAAAAGGGAAAGAAGTATGTTCGATGTTCTTTTCTGGACTATACTTCAGCTTTTGGTTCTATACCAAGACAACGTTTACTTAACAAATTAACCAGCGTCATTACTGACAGCTGGATAACCAACTGGCTATGTTCCTACCTCTCTGGAAGAAAACAGTACACTGTGTTTGGAGGAAAGTGTTCAGAGTCTCTACTGTCTCATGAAGGTGTACCACAAGGAGCTGTTCTTTCACCTCTTCTTCTCTCTTTTTTGTTCTGCATGATCTGCCATTTTCCACCCCTCGCCCCCGAATGCCCTGGTACGGCCGAGAGTGGGGTGAGTCCGCTCTCCCTCTCGAAATACTCTCACACGGCCACGCGTATACAGCCTCTGCCAGGGAAGTCCTACTCATTGCCTTCTCGTGGCGGGGGTGTTGTTTACGAAAATGAGAGGACGAAAAGCGAATGTCCGGCGCTTTAACCGGATCACAAACCAATGGTGCACATGGGCTCCAGTATCCTGCGGGAACAAATGGCGTATGAACCAATCGTTGGTCACCGGCTACCATGGGACTGCATCTCCTTACGATGCTCCACTGCCTTGTGGGTTAGACCTTTAGGTCAAAGGCTCGGGGTGTGGCCCCCTAAGATAACCACCTGCTTCGGTTTGGGCACCCGGGCAGTATCACAGCCCACACACAAATGATGAACTCTTTATGTCTATGGAAATTACTTTTCTCGCTTCGAAAAACAATCAATTGATTCAAATTATTATCATTACAATTATTGTCATTATTAATACTATTATTATTATTACTATTATTGTCATTATTATTATTATTATTTTCCACATTATTCACCCTCTTTTATACTTATACAGCGGCTCGTCTTTGGTGGAAATTCGACTGTATCTAAACGTTCTCGAGTCACTGTCCGGTTGAAAATTGTATGTTACCACCGAATACGAGGACTGAAGCAAATTTTCTGAAACCACGTGCACCATTCAAACTGGCTGCCTTCAACGTTCGCACATTTATGCAGGTCGGACAACAGATAGGGCTGGCTATGTCTTTGGAAAGTCTTAATATCGACGTTTGTTGTCTATCCGAGACCCGTATTCAAGACTCTGGCGAAGTACTACAAATTCGATCTCCATCTGTCGCTTCGAAAAGCTTGTTTTACGTGCGCTTATCCGGGGACCCTGTGGCATCTTCGTCTGGTCTTGCTGGCGTTGGTGTCGCACTAAGCGCTAGAGCTGAGGCAGCACTAGTCGATTGGATCCCCATTAACAGTCGGTTATGTGCTGTTAGATTAGAAAGTTCCATCAAAGTGAGAAGAAATCGGCGTGAGAAACGATGTCTTTTCGTCATCTCCGCCTATGCCCCGACAGATTGCAGCCCGGATGCAATCAAGGATGAGTTTTACCACCAGTTATCAGTTCTTCTCCAGAAAGTGCGTTCGACAGATATTGTAGTACTAGCCGGAGACTTGAATGCTCAGGTCGGGCGTCTAGGCACAGAAGAGAGTCGTTTAGGTGGCCGATGGGGACTCGTTGGTCGCAGGTCAGATAACGGGGACCGTCTACTGCAACTTTGCACAGACCACAACCTGTTTCTGGCTAGCACTAACTTTCGGCACAGTCATCGCCGATGTGCCACCTGGCGTCCTCCCTCTGCTCAAGCCTGGACTCAGATTGATCACATCGCGATCAGCTACCGCTGGCGTGGTTGTGTACAAGACTGCCGCTCCTTTTGGAGTACCTATCTGGACTCTGACCATGCCTTGGTCTGCGCCAATCTTGCCTTACTTTTCAGTGGACAACGAAGTGACGCCATCAACGGATTGATGTTAGCAAGCTGGTTGCAACTTCTGTTGCAAGTAAGTATCGAACCGAGCTAGCCTCTAGGCTAGCTACCACTCCACCGAAAAGTATAGATGAGCATTGGTTGCAATTGCATGACGCCATGAAAATGGCGGGAACAGTCAGTTGTGGGTTTGCGAAACGTCCCGCTTTTAAGCACTGGGTTTCTTCTGGTTCCTTACAACTCATTGAAGCCCGTCGGTCTACTCCGGGTGACCGTGAGTTTGACCATAAACGAAGGATGTTACGTAAGGAAATTGGGCAAAGCTTGCGTAAGGACCGAGAAGCCTGGTGGTCGATGCGTGCTAATGAGCTGGAAGCAGCAGCTGCATCTGGTAACTACCGGAAGCTCTTCCAACTCATCCGAGCCACTGGCAGCAAGAAGTCTGGTGTGAGTGAAACAATCTGCGAGGATGATGGGATGCCAATCACTAACATCCATCGACGTCTTGGACGATGGGCAGAATTTTTCGAAGGGCAGTTCAACTGGCCTGCTGCTCCGGCAACATCGGTCAGACTGTCCTGCCCTCCATGGCCGGTGACGACTGATCCACCAAATGAGGAGGAAGTCCGCAAGGAACTCCAACTCTTGAAGCGTTACAAATCACCTGGCCCAGATGACTTACCTCCGGCTCTTTTTAAAGATGGTGGTGACTTTTTGACTAAGGAATTGACGACGTTGTTTACAAAGGTTTGGGAACTAGAGAGTGTACCAACGTCATGGAATGAGTCGATAGTTGTCCCTATCTTTAAAAAGGGTTCACGTCGTTCCTGTAACAACTATCGGGGGATAAGTTTACTTCCGATTGCGTCCAAGCTATTGGCTTCCGTCACTCTTCGTAGGTTGTTCAAAACCCGAGAAAGATTGACTCGCGAGGAGCAGGCTGGGTTTCGTTCTGGTCGAGGATGTATTGATCATATCTTCACCCTCCGCCAAATGTTAGAACACCGCCATACTTATCAAAGGCCAACAATCGTAGTGTTTCTTGACATCAGGGCTGCCTTCGATTCGTTGGACAGGACTGTTCTCTGGGATTGTCTATTGAAGAAGGGTGTGCCTGAGAAGTTTATTAACATCCTAAAAGCCCTATATAAAAACACCTCAGGCAGAGTGAGGGCATACAACCACCTCTCTCCATTGTTCCATTCGAGCAGTGGGGTTAGGCAGGGTTGCCCAATCTCACCATTCCTCTTCAACTTTGCCATCGATGACATTCTGGAAACAGCTCTGATGAATGTAAGTAATGGTGGTGTGGATCTGTTGCCTGGAGAAAGACTTCTCGACCTTGAGTATGCGGACGATATTGTCTTACTGTGCGATAATGCCCAAGGCATGCAATCCGCACTTAATCAGTTGGCAATCAGTGTCCGTAGGTATGGTATGTGCTTTGCACCTTCGAAGTGCAAAGTACTTCTACAAGACTGGCAGGATTCTAATCCTGTACTCACCCTGGATGGTGAGCAGATAGACGTAGTCGAGAAGTTCGTGTATCTGGGTAGCTGCATAAGTGCTGGTGGGGGTGTGAGTGATGAGATCAATGCACGAATAGTGAAAGCCAGAGCGGCTTATGCCAATCTGGGCCACCTTTGGCGCCTTCGTGATGTTAGTCTGGCTGTAAAAGGTCGGATCTACAACGCGTCGGTGAGAGCAGTTTTGCTCTATGCTTGTGAAACCTGGCCTCTCCGAGTTGAGGACGTTAGACGACTCTCTGTGTTCGATCATCGCTGTCTCCGAAGGATTGCTGACATTCAGTGGCAACACCATGTCAGTAATGCAGAGGTTCGGCATCGTGTGTTCGGGCACAGAGATGATAATGCAATTGGTGTCACCATCTTGAAACACCGACTTCGGTGGCTTGGACATGTTCTCCGAATGTCGTCCCAGAGAATTCCACGTCGTGCATTATTTGCCGACTCTGGGACTGGTTGGAAGAAGCGGAGAGGTGGTCAGTGCATGACATGGTGTCGTGGCATGAAAGAAAGCTGCAAAGGACTGGCTTGTGTTGGTCCTTCACGACTCCCTGGTTGGGGTCCGAGAGATGGTGCTACACAGTGGCTAGAGACGTTATCAGATATGGCTCAGAATAGAAGCCAATGGCAATCCTGCTGTTACCTTCCTTCATAAAAAGTGGTTGTATCTTCCTTAACTGAAAGAATTCTTCTGTTTGTACCTTTCCGTTTCCCCAATCATTACCATTATTATTATTATTATTATTATTATTATTATTATTATTATTATTATTACACCACCTTACACTAATCTATTCGTTATTGTTATGGAATAAAGCTTTCCGTCTGACTTACTACATAAAGAGACTGCATGCTCTTGGGATTACTCGTCATTTACTCCTACAATTTGTCAATTCTTGCATGTTACCTATTATTCTTTACTGTTCTTCATTATTCTTTCTCGAGCTTTTGAGAAAAGACTGCTGTATTGCGGAGAGTGCTGAAGGCAGTTAGCAAGATGTGTGGTGAATCTTTCGAGTCATAATTAATATAGTTGTGGATAGACAGCTAAAGTCATGCAAACTCCTGGCAGGTGTTATTTTATCAGAAACTAACCATCCTCTTCACTCTTATCTTTCTTCTTGTATATCTTTTGGTAGAACGAGACATAATTACATTAAAATCCGTGTTCGCAAGCAAAAGTATGAAGGTTCTATAATACCTTACCTAGCAAATATACTCTGTGTCGAATAGGATGTTAGAGGTTAACCTAGTTAATAACCTGCATTCTTAACATGTCTTTAATTTTAAAAGTTGTACAGTTTCTCGGGTTATTTTTTTAAACCATTTTGTGTATTCGTTACTGTTTTTTGAGTAAGTAACTTGTTGAAATACCCTGTGCTGAGAATTCTATATTGTACCAAAATGTAATATTGAATAAAGCCAGTAATAATAATAACAAATTCTCCAGGTTGTTGTTATGAGCTAAAATTAATTGCGATCGTTAACGACTGACTTTGTCATATAAATCACTTTTACGTCCGTTCATTTATGACGTCATAAATCGAACTGCACTACTGGAAGTCAACGGCAATCTAGCTTTTTAGACCCAAACACAGTTCGTCGAGCTAAGCAGCCATTTCACAGTTAGATTGATAAATCACATATCGACACTGAACATCTGACTGTTTTTCAGCCCAAACTATTCTTGTCGGGCCAATCGCCTTTTTATTTACGATTTTGTTATCCTGTTTCAGAAAATGAACGAATTTTCGGTCTTATATGATGATGTTTGTCAGCGTGTTTCACGATCCCTTATGGAAGCACTGAAACCGTTTGACGGTATCGATACAGTTGCTACTCATGGTGGATATAATCCAGTGTATTTAGAGGAAGTGGGGCGTCCTGTTGTCCCGCCAATAACTTTGTCGTCTACTTTCCAACAGCTTTCTCCTGGTGTTGCAAAAGTAATAAGGTTTTGTTCTGTATCAACTTTTTTAAGTATGACTATTCTAGGTCTGGGAATTTCTCTCGGGAGTGTTTGGAAAAGTGCATAGCATCTCTGGAAGATGGCCATGACTGCTGCGTCTTTAGTTCTGGTCTTGCAGCCTTAGGAACTCTCATTCAGGTCTTATCAAGTGATGACCACATCGTTGCGTTCGATGATCTATACGGAGGTTTGTTATTTTAACATTTTGATTTCTATTAACGTGTCTTAGAAGTCAAAAATAAATTATCTTTTATATAGTTGGTCAGTTCATACTTACACTATTACCCCTGTGAAATGTTGGCTATTTTAGACCGCTAAATTAAAGTTCGTTTACTAATTTACTTAATGCAGTGACTTGTAAAACAATTTAAGTTTTTCTAGTTAACGATAAATGCAGAATAAACTGGTGAATTCTGTATTAGAAACACTTAGCACATCTTTGTGGCGAATTATGTAACTTAATGACCTTACACTGGTTCGTTTTAACTACAGAAGAGAATTCATATGCAAATATTAGAAAGTCTGCCTAACTGCTTGCTCCATCAGTTTCAAATCAATACATACTAGCCAAAACTGTGGCTTGTGAGTCCGGTGGCTTTGGGTTTCAAACGTTAGTGTCCAAACTGTTTAATCCCCTAAGTACGATTTGTCAACACTTGCTTCCCCATTTATTTCTGTCTCGAAATTAAAACCAATGGTTTTCAAACTGTTTAGGTGTTGTGAAGGTATTATGGGCTGGCAACATAAGGTGAGTCAGGTCAACTTCAGAGGCATAATCGTTGTGAATAAGACATTTAAATTTTTACTACCATCAAAAGTACCAACTATTGGCCATTTCATCATAAAATTAGCAAATATGGTAGGAAATCTTATTTACTTGTAATTTTATTATTTAGATTGCTAAAATTATTGATTCATTCGTAATCTTCATATTTGAAACATATTTTCAGAAGATCCTGTTGATTTCTTTCCCAGTCGTTACTTGTGTGAATCCAAAAATCTATTTTTATTTTCTAAATCTGAGTTTGGGAATTCATCAAGTTTTTCGTACCTTTTATAATCCACAAACTTGCCACTCTATTCCTTTAAATTAAAGCCATAGCACAATATTTGATAACATCAGTTCTCTGATGCTGAGTGAAGTGGTAGATAAAATCAGAGATGCGATGGTGAAATGTGGTTCGAAGAAAAAATATCGTATGGTGAAAGATGGCTTTCGTAGCAAGATCTTCACCTGGCTTTATTTACTGTAGTTCAACTAAATAAAGGTAAGTTTTACGGAAACTGCCCAACCCTTATGAGGACGCTAAAGTATACCCACTGGCCGAGTTTGATACATACACTTCATTAGGCTTTGGAACATTTCACCATCCGACAGCAGTTACTTTTCTTATTAATGATAGGGTCTGACGACGGTGGTCATGTAGTCTTGTTGTTTGTGAAATCAATAGTGTTTGAGGGCCCTGAAAATGTTTGATTCTGTTTCTTATTGTATTTAGTTTAACAATAGGGAGTGGTGTGATTTAGTATTTTGGATGTTCTTATGTGTCTTGAAAGGTTTATTACCCCTGATGGTTCAGTACTCACAACTCTTTTAGTTGAAGTCTACTGTTTTGCGTCATCCGTTGCACAAATAAGATATCTTTAAAACAAACGACGTGTTAAGATAATAAATGATCTCGTTGAAGTATAGTGAGGGCAAGATTTGCGCAGTATTGATATTTGACAATGAAAGCTTATTAACGAGACTGAGTCAAATTCATAGAGCTTCATTGTTTAAAGTTGTTAAGGATTCTTTTATATGTGTAGCCAATCACCACCCGGTTTGATGTGCTGACTGAGACAGTGTTTTGGAGAAAAGTTATTGTCAGACGGATTAAGACTTGGTATCATCCCTTCAAGTCAGACTCAGGCTGATGTATACAGAGGGATAAATGACTATATGTCCATATATGGAAGAAAACTATAATTATTGGTTAGTAAATCGGGATTGAAATTTTCAGTACAATGAAGTGTCATGTTACTTGGTGTTTCCTTAAAACTTATGTTCTAAGATAAGACTTATTCTAACACAGAAATACCAAAGCAATATCAAAAGATTTTGTTCTTTGTGCGATTAAGTTTTTTATTGATATGAGATTATGGTTAATAGCTTACGACTTACTGAAGACACTTACTGATATGTACATTAAATCGTGCATCAATATTTGATCCATTCTAATGCCTGAGTAAGTCGGAATTTTGTTCCCCTACTGACTACTATTTCACTAGGTCTTCAGCTTAGTTTGTTTTATAATAATTTGTCATTTCCAACTCAATAATTAATTTATATTCAGTTTGTAGTGTTTTTTTATTTTAACAGGAAATGGACGATATCTGCGTCGACTTGCTTCGAAATCTGGAATAACAACTACTTTCGTTGACATGCGTGACTTGAATTTGTTTCAACAGGCGTTACAGAAAAACACTCGCTTAGTCCTTATAGAATCTCCATCAAATCCTTTAATGCGTCTGGTCGATATAAGTGCTGTTGCGTCTATCGCTCATGAGTTTAACAAAGAAATTATTGTTGTTGTTGACAATACTTTCATGAGTTCTTATTTTCAAGTAAGCAAAATTATTTCACTGGTCATCTTACCGAGATAATCCTAAATATATGTCCCCAAACTATTTCTTTGTACAAATTTCAAGCCTTAGTTGTCTGAAAATTTTATATGACAATAGGTTTGTATCCATATAAAATGAGGGTTCGCTCTTCTCTAGTCGTCACATTCGTCTAAACTGAAGATCACCACACTTAAGCAGGGCACTGCATTCAGTCCGCTGAAGTATTTCATTGATAATCAGTGTTTAGATATTTCTTAGACTATAACGCACGCTGTAAAATGTATTAATCACTGAATTTCGTTCCAATTTTTCTTTCTATTATTATGCTTGACGAAATCTCTGCATGGATTCAGAAATATTAACTAGCCTTTGCCAGCTTATGTTTCTCGTGGTATAGGCGAATTGTTCGTCCTCATACATAGTTGCATGTTGATTGCTCAGAAGTTCGCTTTGTATTGCTGTATGAATTTGAAGCATGGGCCGTAAAAATAGAGTATATTAGTAGAATACTAGTATCCGGCCATAGTTATATTCGATCTCAACTATTGAACTTACTACAATCTCCACAAAACTCCTTCTGATACTAATCAACATATGCTCACTAGTGATTGGCTTCAAGATGTATATCCTGGAGTTCTAGTGAGAAGCAGTGACCAGTGGAGTTCAATCGGGTCAGTTGTGAGATAGTAACTCACTGATGACAATGGTAAATGTGTCGCTCAATTTCGTCGATTAGTTGAAGTTAGACATGAACAACACCGTTGGATGCCGGCTCAGTGGTCTAGTTGGTTAAGTGCCTGAAGTGAGACTGACAGGTCTCGGGTTCAAATCCCGCGAGGTGGGGTTGTGGATGCTCATTGCTGAGGAGCCCCACAATAGAACGAAACGGCCGTCCAGTGCTTCCAGGTTTTCCATGGTGGTGTAGCTTCAATTGACTCATGATCTTAACTATTGAAATTACTGCCCGTATATTGTGGAACTGAGTGGAAAATGCTGGGGTTGTGCAGAGGGTACTAGGTGAAATTGATGAATTGTTTGGTGAGGCCACGATTGTTAATCGATCAAGGTGGTTGGGATGTATGTTACGTATGCCTAACCACCACCTATTTTGACGCTATGTATACCAATGTAGGAGCACATATCATAAGTTTATGAAGCCGTTTACTGTTGATTTCAGCAATATTACTGAATATAGAATACTTGATCATGCTCCTCACACTAGTTGTAGCGAATGGTTGGAGACAAAAGTAAAGAGAATCAAGCGAAGAAAATTTTCTTTTCGACGAAATTATTTAATCAAGCTATAAATTCGTATTCATAGTTGTATGGTATATATATGTCAACAGAAAGATAGGAAAGGTTACATGATAAATTGATTCGAGATTCTTAGTATCAAGTGACGTTACGCAATAATCAAAGGGTAAGAGAAGAATAAGTTATGGGTCAGAATTATAAAAGATAATTGTACACTTTACAGATATAGCGAAGAGCGAAAAACACTAAGGTCATAATGATAAAAACGGAATAATAATCATGAAAATTTTTTTAAGGATTAAGGTTTAAAATTACAAAATACTAATTTAAAAAATAACAAAAAAACCAAAACATACTACATAAGGAGAATTAGGGCCAAGGAAAAATGAGAGGTTGGGCGTATCGATTTTGCACGCAGAGTTCGAGCTTGAGTTGGTGGATTGCCAATACCTCAGTAGTGCATACGTTTTTTATTTGACCTCGCCTCATTCCAATTCTTTGTCGCTTAATTCTCTTTATTTTTATTCATTGACACAATGCGTTATTAAAATTACACATTGGGTGACATGATTCAGGACAATTCGTTATAGCACAAATACATTTGGTCTTTATCTTTTTTTATATTCCGAGTTCCTGTACTTTTTCTAATTACCTCCCTTTCTTTGTTTTCTAACTATATTCACAATGTTTAATTGATTTTATTTTGGTTTCATTTGCTATCCATTTTGTTTATTTCAACTGATTTCGGTAGTGTGGTAACTTCACCCAACATATATATGCCTAGTTCTATGTTGATTACAACTGACTTTATGTTACAATTTATTCTCAAAGTATTCGTGGATTCGAATGAAACCTTGATATCAATTTTAGTAACAACTCAAAGTTCAGTGAGTGACGTAAGTTAGGGGCGGCCAAGCCAAAACTCAGCATCAGTGCTTGAAGTCATTAACTTCTAGCCTTAACCATGTTGGTAAATGCAGACTACTTGGTTGGGGTACGCGCGACTATCGTAACCAATGGTTAGAGACATAGGATGACATGGCTCAGAATCGATCACAATGGCGTCGGTGTATACACTCTGTCTCCCCTTAAACTATGAGATTAGAATCACTTGATATCTTTCTTTCTACGAACTAATCCTCTCTTTCTGTACTATGTCCTTATATGCAATCTTTCTTTCATATATTACCACCACTACTTCTATGAATCCCGTGTTCATCTTGTTGTGCCAATAAGGTATGACAACTTGGACCGATGCACATATGTGCCTAATCCTACGTTGTAGCTGACTACAGACTGGATGTAACTTATGTGGGTTTTTGGCATCATATTAGCGCTGAATTTCGTTGTTAGAAGATATCCCATTATATCGACTCCTTTATACTCAATAAAGTGTTTAAATAATCATATGAAAGATTTGACCTGTAAATAATACATTTTCAGTGAATATAATAGGTACATTAAAAAATGTCATTATTACTGTCCACCTGTCATTCAGGAATCATTTAAACTTGCCTTATAACTTATAAAAACATTAACAGTATTTGTAGCAACAAATTAAATACTGGGATTTGTGTTCACTTTTTTCCACTGAATGCAATTACAATCACAATGAGTTGAGACTAAGTATCAGAATTCTTGTCAAGTTAATATTAAAAAGAGGCAACACTCATGCTAAATATCTAAAACCAGAATTTCAACGTTGTGTGATTAATCAGAGATGATTGTAGGTAAACAATTATTATTCATTATTATACAATGAATGATACAGTTCTACACATTGTTTTATTATGTAAATATCGGACATGAATATATATTATGATTGGGATATTTAATTCTTGCAAATTATATATCATAAATACAATAAAATAATATATTTGTAATATCCCAATGATACCTACAAAATTATATATCAGTTTTTTTCCTGTTTCTGACTTCACTTCGGTCAAATGTGAGGTACTATTAAATTACATTTTATTGGCGTACAAGGTTGTAAAATCCAAACCAGTAGGAGACTGTAAAATTTCCACGGAACACCGTTGTTCTCCGACTTTTATTAGGCGATGTACACTTTCGATTGGTGATGAGGTGTCTAATTTACTTTGTTACTACATTCATTCATTATCATTTTTTATGAGAATGTAACCAGAAAAGACAATGAACTTTTGACTATGTTAAATAATAAATTGCTGGGTCCTTAGTGATTGTTTGTAGAAAATTATTCATAAAATCACTATGAATGTTTCCCCTGTATATTGGAAATTATGTAAATTAAAACTTGTCGTAATAGTACACTCGTTATCGTAATTAAATAACAAAAATAGTCCGTGTTATGACCATGGGATTATCCGCCTCGTAAATTATTGTTTATTTGAACTTAAAACTATTCATAAGGCGCATCATATTTAGTCATACTCCAATAATTTCGAGTACATATATATAACAAAATATTCCTAGTTTAAAATCAGTGTTGATAAACTGGAAACATATTTCCGTTTTCAGTGGTTTTGAATATCAACCTTAAACTGTATGTGCACTTTTAATTAGTCACTGAAAATATTTTGATTTCTCGCGTGATTATAAAAAATATAAGGAAAATATAAATACAGTTTCGAGTAAACATTCATTGTAAGTTTGGAAAGTATAGTTTTAGTCATGATAAAGTAAATAATCACTAATATAATGAACATACAAGTATAAATATGGTAGTTATTTGTTTAATTTATAATTATTGAACAGCAGTGAAGCTTACTTTAATTAATAAAATTCTCAATCATTTTAATAAAGTCTTTTTGGAAAGCATGTTTTTTGTCCTAACGCGTGTTACACTCCAAAACTTTACGAATTAGCATCCTACTGGTTATAAGTTAGTAGCTATCTAAACTCAGTAGCTTAGTGAATAATCAGTCCTAGTTTGGAGCTGTAATTGACGAGTCTTAATGTGGATATGAACACTAGAATCCCGGGACATCCATTTGATTAATCCCAAATGGAAAGAAATATGCGTTTTAGGTCCTACTGCACACTTCTACTATTCAAATACATGAATAGGTGATATAAGCGTTATACCCTAACCACAAACAACCGATTTTCCACTGTTTCATTACTTCTTTAAAATAAAGTAGCAAATTATTTAGACTATTTACTTTTTTTTCAGCGTCCACTTGATCATGGAGCAAATGTTGTCCTACACTCTCTCACAAAGTATATGAATGGTAAGCTCCTTTTTCATTACAACCAACAGGTAAAATAACTTAATTTATGTCTACCTCGCATAATGTCTTCAGTGGTTAAGTATTGCATAAAATCTCTAAGTAGACAGCACTTTTCATAATTTTGGGGATTTGTTTGACTTCATAAAGCCGTCTTCTTATTATGATTACCTAGTACCCATTTATTTATTTAAGATGGTGTGCGTCATTGTCAGCTACCACTAATATAAAGAACTAATTGCTGAGTGATGGTAAGGGTTGTTTGGTTGATGCTTGGTGTACAGGTGAATACTTTTTTACCCTCAAATTGAGAGAAAAACCCATCCACTGGATTTTCGTCGTTGCAGATGTTTCTATGCCAATCATTGGTATGGACCTTCTACAACACCACAATCTGATCATCGACACTCGCAAACGGAGGCTAGTAGACGGAAACACTAATTTGTCCGTTTGCGTAACTTCTTTTACTGGTTGTAGAGTATCCCCAGTCACAGTTAAACATATGATAGACCCACTCTATCAACCACTACTCGATAAGTACCCTGGGATACAACAAACTCAACCGAAACTACCGTGTGTAACCAGCAATGTTACACATCACATCACGACTACAGGACCACCTGTATTCTCTAAAGCACGACGACTAGCTCCTGAAAAGCTAAGGTTAGCGAAAAACGAATTCGATCACATGATGGACTTAGGAATCATACGACCGTCAAGTAGCCCATATGCATCTCCGTTGCACATGGTCCCTAAAAAGGACAGCAACGATTGGCGTCCAACTGGTGACTATCGGCGATTGAACGCGAAAACCATTCCCGATCGTTACCCGTTGCCTCACATTCACGATTTGACAGCTACCTTGAAAGGTACAACTGTCTTTTCGAAAATCGACTTGGTTAAAGCGTATAACCAAATCCCTATGGCTACTGACGACATACCGAAAACGGCTATCATAACTCCCTTCGGACTCTATGAATTTTTGCGAATGCCTTTCGGTCTAAGGAATGCTGCTCAAACATTCCAAAGATTCATAGACGACGTTTTTCGAGGTCTCAACTTCGTACACGCGTATGTTGACGACTGTCTAATCGCAAGTCCGGACAGAGAAACACATCTCAAGCATCTGGACCTTGTTTTCGAACGATTACAAAAACATGGCATAACTGTAAACGTTCAGAAATGCCAATTTGGAACCGACTCGTTAGACTTTCTGGGACACACTATCGATGCTCAAGGTATCCGACCCCTTAGAACCAAAGTGGCGGCCATTCTGGATTACCCAGAACCGACCACCGTCAAGCAATTACGCACGTTCAACGGCCTGGTAAGTTTCTATAGACGTTTCATACCCAGATGCGCATCACTTATGAAACCTCTGACCGACCAACTTCGTGGAAATGCGAAATCCATTAATTTGGACGACACCGCACGAAAAGCATTCTCCACAGTCAAGGAACTGATTGCTAAAGCAACAATGCTCGCACATCAGGACACCCGAGCACCCATTAGCATCGCAGTAGACGCATCCGACTCAGCAATCGGAGGAGTCTTACAACAATGGGTTAACAACTCCTGGCAACCCTTGGCATTTTTCTCTAGAAGGTTGCTAGACACCGAATCGAGGTACAGCACATTCGGTAGGGAACTCCTAGCTATGTATTGTGCTGTACGGCATTTCCAACACTATATCGAAGGCCGTGAATTCACTCTTTTCACGGACCATAAACCGCTCACTTTCTCGTTAAGCTCTCCTTCTGACAAGTACTCTCCCCGTGAGTCTCGACAACTGGACTACATTTCGCAGTTTACTTCAGATATTCAACACATCTCTGGAGCAAACAATGTAGTTGCAGACGCTTTATCTCGTATAACTTCCTTGAACAGTTTCCAAGGAATCGACCTTCTTAAACTCGCCGAGCTTCAAAAAGAAGACAGTGATCTTCAGCACGAGTTATCGTCCACAACACTTAAACTACGCATCAAACAGATGGGAACAGGTAAGGAAACCTTACTTTGTGACACATCTACAGGTAGGGATCGCCCAATCGTGCCGAAACATTATCGACGCAATGTCTTCAACACATTGCACAAACTTTCTCATCCAGGTGTTCGTGCAACCATCAAGCTTATAGCAGAACGATTTTGCTGGCCTGGCATGAATAAAGACGTGAGGGAGTGGGCACGCTCCTGTGTAAGCTGCCAAAAATCTAAGGTTATCAGACACAATAAATGTCCCTTAGGCTCGTTTAAAACTCCCGATGCTCGTTTCGACCATGTTCATCTGGATTTGGTAGGACCTTTACCAGATTCAAATGGATACTCTTATCTCTTAACCTGCGTAGACCGTTTCACTCGATGGCCAGAAGCAGTACCTATCAAGGACAGCACTGCTGAAACAGTGGCCCGCACATTCGTCGAACGATGGGTAGCAAACTTCGGTTGCCCTTCAACCATCACTACAGACCGCGGACGTCAGTTTGAATCTGATCTTTTCCGTCGTCTGACCACACTTTTAGGAATCACTCGCTTCCGAACGACCGCCTACCATCCACAAGCAAACGGGTTGGTAGAACGTTTTCACCGACAACTGAAAGCTTCGCTATCAGCTGCAAACGTTTCACAATGGACCGACGCTCTTCCACTCGTCTTACTAGGTATCCGCAATGCAGTGAAAGCTGACATTGGATACACTGCGGCTCAACTCGTTTATGGAACGACACTTCGACTTCCAGGAGAATTCGTGGATCCTTCGTGCTCTTCGATGAACATGGATCTAACCTCCTACACGAACAGGCTTACAAACGCAATGCGTTCAGTTAAACCTGCTTCCACTCGACCTCAATCAACTGATGTTTTCGTTCAACCTGACTTACCATATAGTACACACGTTTTCATTCGTCGAGACTCGCATCGACGACCATTCGAATCAGCATACGAAGGACCCTTCAAAGTTCTTCAACGTGAATCTAAGTACTATATAGTCGATAAGAACGGAACCAACGATAGCATCAGCATCGATCGCTTAAAAGCAGCGTATTTAGAAGGAAATCCTATCCACGTCGATTTTCCTTCGGTACAATCGAACGACACGACTCAGACACTAATAATACCTCATCCGACAACCAACGCACACGAAGATACTTCGACAGTATCCGAAAATAAACTTAAAACGACGCGTTCTGGAAGAAGGGTGAGATTTCCAGAACATTTAAACGACTATTGCACGTAAGGCACTTCTCGACATTTTATATTATTATTTTTTTTTTTTTTGAAAAAAAAAACAATTTTAATATGCTTATATATTTTTATTTCTATTAAAAAAAAAAAAACAAAAAAAACAATTTTTTAACGCTATTACGTGCTCATGAGTTTATTTTCCTTTTTTTTTCCGCCGACCTTGTGTTTTTACGCATATACGAGTGTATTTTCGACATGCACTTACATTTTCTTTTTTCTTTTCCAGGACGGCTGGAAAAGAACGATGACGTTTATGAGGATCCGAAATTTTCATTGTACATTTTCTTTTTTTTACTATGTTGTACCTCCGTCCCATATAGTAAGGAAAGACGACCAGACGCTGCTAAATTTAGTAAGCTATCAGAAGAGTGTTTACCAACGACAAACTCGTTGGGTTTAAACTTCTGGCTGGCCACGTCTTAGGGTCGTCACTGCCCCACTAGGGGGGGAGTGATCTGTAGCGGTAAATAAATCCCTAAAATAAATAGCTCTGTAAGTTTTCGACATTGGATGCTGACCATATGTTTTAGTGGACTCATCTAGCTGAAGGCGCTCGGTCAGGCATCCGCACCAGATCACGTGTAGTAACGCCGTGCTCAACATCAACCACATTCGCTAGCCAGATTAGATCAGAGAATCCCGGTATATTGGTCATCGCCAAATATACTCTTCCGATCTCCTCGACTCTGTCTTTTGATTTCTCTTGGTGGGAACGAAACATATTAGAAGGTGTTACTGGTAGAAGCGTTGTGAAACACTGAATACCTGTGACATTATCAGACTAATAGCAGCTTCCGAAGTGTCTCCGTTTTTGGGAGGGGTAGGTATGGTATTTTAGGATTTATGCAGTGGCAAACGCTGTAACTGCTGCGGCTGCGTAGGCTGGGTTGATTGGTCTGTGTCCCATTGAAGATTCGACGCTGGATAGCAGTCCCGTCATAGATGATTCTAATCTTTTTAAATGTTGGAATACGCCTCAGTAGTGACTGACTATTGAGGAGGTTATTAGCTTCAGTGGTACTACCAAACTGAAATAGAATGGGACATGAGGCTTTAGTGAGTATTTTACGTAATCTTCTTGTTACACATCGAGATTGTGACAATTCACATTCTTGTAGTAGAGTATTTTTAGCAATCTTTATGTTCGTACTATCAGGTATATTATACACAATGACATTCTGCATACACTGAAGTCTTTTCAACACTTCACTTGATATATGGTCAATTACTTTTCAGTGTTTTTTATAATTTCTAGATCGAGATTTTCTGGAACACTGATTAAATATTTGTACGGCAATAGGTCTTGAATAGTTTGGGTGAGGCTAAGTTCTGTCTGGCTGCTTTTAGGTCTACCAGTGGTGAGATTATTGGAGTTTATATCAAAGTTTTTATGGTCTATATGGCTACATACAGACCTGTTGCAGGTGTCTAGCGGGTGGTTACTTTATGCACACTTAGTTGGAGTATGGGTATATGTCTGGGTGAGTAATCAAGATCTACATCATCGAGCTGGCTATTGTAGGCAGGCTTACATGTACTCCGTTGGCCGCTACTCAGGATGGCCGATTGTAAAATTGTTGGGTGTTTGGAGTCAGTCGCACTGTCTAAATAATGCTCACACAATGTGATGCTTTTGTTTGGACTGACAAATGATGTCGACACTAAAGGTGTGTAACTGCTCTTATTTATATCTACAAGCGACATACAAGGTAGTGATGTCATGCGCAAGTAAACGGTGCACGTTTAGTGTAGCTGAAGGAAGATAAGAGTACAATGCAGAATGACCAGTGTGTTTATAGGGTTTCACATTATTCGCTTTAGTGACTGATTTAGATCTTTTGCAGGTGCAATAGGCATCAGAAGAGATTGTACTTTTTTAGATGGTCTGGACATTATTATTGTAAAGTAAATATAAAGTTTAATTACGTGAACAGCGATAGTTATAATTTAACTTAATAGACGTGTAAAGTTCTATGGTAGGATCAGATCCCATATTAGTTAAGAGCAAATATATTAACGTTAATTAGTGAAAAGAGATAGACGGGGTGAAGACTAGCAAAATTAATGTATGGCGTTGAGTCCCAAAATGAGGTTTCAAGCTGACAGAACCTTATCAGTGACAAATTATATATCGCCAATAAATGGTAAATTAAAGGGAAAAACCAAGAGGAAAATAAAATAATACCATGTGAAAAAGTTACAACCTTTAAAAACACACGCGTGAACTTGTAGTGACTCACGTTTATCACGAGAACACGACTGGTTTAATAAAAACAATTATTATTATAACCAACTGTACCAGTGTTTGTTTTAATGTGCTTTTGTTTGACTGTGCTAATGACAGCTATTTTGTGCTTCCATTCTTTTACTTACACTTTGATTGTAACTTCGCGCGAATTCGGTTACCTTCTGTAACCAAGGTTGTATCCTGGCACGATCTCGGTATCCTTTCGATGCCACGAGATCGCCAGCTAATAAACCTCGACTTGGTCCATTAATTGCCTTCTGGTATTTGGCTTCTCGGGGATTTTATGGAGTCATTTGGAACGAGCTTCTTACGCCTTCTGATTTATTTGGCACGTGTTTCTTGGTAGCGGTGTTCATAGTTAATCACAACTCGACGCCACGCTACAATTGGTTTGGTGACCCGTATTTTGGAACACGCCTCAACTTCTGATCAAATCTTCCAAAGAAGCCAATTCGGTGAGTCTATGATTTATCTATCCACGTCTGTCGTATATTTTCATATTTTTTAATATATAATATACGCGACATGACGGATAACGATAAGAATAGTATTAATATAATAGACTCACACGTATGTGTACCGAATCCTTGTCACTTTTTATTCGCGTGATGATGAATTCCACGCTTTATTCGAGAAATGTTACCCTATTAACTATTCTCCTCGCTGACCCGGCTGCTTGGTACGGAATGCATACGCATGAGCATATCCGTCTACCACACAGCACCAAATGGTTAAGTAAACGGTTTCACTGCCAACTTAAAATGCTCTACGAGCACACGAAAATGGCAACTGGCACGAAACCTTACCGCTCGTTCTTTTAGGGATCAGAACGAGCTTAAAGGCAGATATCCAATGTTCCGCCCTTGAACTTGTATACGGCACGACATTGCGTCTGCCCGGAGAATTCTTCACACCACGGAGCAGACCTAATTTCGGTAAATCAGACAACGTCCATCGACTGTCTGCATTTATGTGAACGCTGTCTCCGGTGTCAACTCGAATACAACATCGACAGGTCGCTCTCCCTCGAGAGTTATCTACCTGTTCACATGTTTTTGTACGAGTAGATTCGGTACGCAAACCTTGGCAACAACCTTACGAAGGCCCTTTTCACGTGATCGCTCGTCACGAAATGACCTTCAAGGTTGATCGACATGGCCGCGTCGAGATCGTCAGCATTGATCGTCTCAAACCAGCACACGTCGATGACAGTGCCCTATCTGACAACCTGAGATTCAATGCTAGACCTAGCAAACCTACTAGCGGGATCCTCAAATCATCTTCAGGTCCCACGCTAGATACATCTGAGACCTCATTCTCACGTCCCAGTCAACAGCACGCGTCATCTGCACCGTCTACGGACGAGACGACAGTCTCACGTCCAGATCAGCAGACCACGCCGCCCTTGACTTCGGATGAGGTTGCAGGCTCACGCGACGCGAACGAGACTACCGTCTCACGTTCCGGTCGCCGAGTACGGTTACCCGTACGCTTCCGCGACTAGCCGCACAGTTAAAAAACGATACGGTGTAGGATTATTCCTATACTACACGCATGCTACACTCTTCTCTTTTTTGATTTTCTTTTTGTTTCCTGAGCCCACGCCTTCGACCATCTCCGTTTGGTTCCGTCGACTTCAGTCAACTTTGGCGAAAGCTGGCCTGATCACCCACGCTCTTGTCAACGTACTCAGTCGATATCTTCGTTTCGAATGTTTGGCACACGCTTGGTCTCGAACTTGGTCGTTATGGTCGCTTCTGGTTCATCGGATCAACGTGGTTTCGTCCTACGTCTGCAGCGTTTCTGGTCCGGACCCCTACGAACGCCATCTTCAGATTCTGGATACAAACCACTCTGGTGTAGCATGCCAACTCAAACAACAAATACAGCACATCGCTCCTGGTACCGTTCTCCGAAAACGACCTTCGTTGGCAACTCGACGATCAACGATCGCTTTCCTGTTCGCCAATTCTTCCGTCCTACAATCGCTCGTCAGCCGATCAGTCCCACGATTCAAACCGCTATTTATCGAAAGTGTAAACCCTTTCTAGCGGGGGGCTCCTGTAGTGACTCACGTTTATCACGAGAACACGACTGGTTTAATAAAAACAATTATTATTATAACCAACTGTACCAGTGTTTGTTTTAATGTGCTTTTGTTTGACTGTGCTAATGACAGCTATTTTGTGCTTCCATTCTTTTACTTACACTTCGATTGTAACTTCGCGCGAATTCGGTTACCTTCTGTAACCAAGGTTGTATCCTGGCACGATCTCGGTATCCTTTCGATGCCACGAGATCGCCAGCTAATAAACCTCGACTTGGTCCATTAATTGCCTTCTGGTATTCGGCTTCTCGGGGATTTTATGGAGTCATTTGGAACGAGCTTCTTACGCCTTCTGATCTATTTGGCACGTGTTTCTTGGTAGCGGTGTTCATAGTTAATCACAACTCGACGCCACGCTACAAACTCAAGCGTACCTGTTGAATTCTCGCGTGCTGCCTTAACTACTGTGAGGAATTGTGCACGTGTGTCGTTCACACCGTGCTCATAGAAGTCGGCTTCTGTGTAGCAGAACCAGGCTTCGATGTTGTTTGGCCAGAAGGGCATTAGTTGGAATGAATGTGGGGATATAGTCTTCAGCTTAAGTACCTTGGGTGTCTGTTCCTTTCATGTTGCAATATCATGTACGAGAATGAACGAGTGAAAAAAATATATCAAAAATGCGGGGAAAAATATCACACTGCAAAAAAAAATTAATACAACGCAATAATATTCAGAATTTCAAATAGGAACTGACTCACAGTTTACAATTCGGTGTACCAGATCACTTTAGGCTCACCAATAAAGATGCCACAGGTATTCGGAGTTTGACAATGCTTTAATCAGTAACACCTAATATGGAATCATACCCACCAAGTGAAATCAAAAGACAGAAGCGAAAAGGTTCGAAGATATATTTGATAGGCTATCAATATATCGAGGATCGTCTGATCTAATCTGACTAGCGATTGCAGGGTTTGTTGAGCACGGCGTTCCCACTCGTGATCTGGTGCCGATGCATGACCGAGCGCCTTCGGCTAGTTGAGTCCACTAAAACTAATGTGGTCAGCATCCAATGTCGAAAACTTACAGAGCTATTTATTTTGAGGCTTTATTTGCCGCTACAATACTACCAACGGTATATCGCCCTCGCGAGTGCAGGAACAAGAAGAACTTGCATTAACAGTAAGTCACGATCTAAAAACAACTGCATATTGCAGCACAACAGCTGTCGAAGGTTTTTGAGCGTTAGGGTTATTTCACCAAGTATTCAAATACTTTATCAAGGGGAGCTTTCGGATTTTATACTCCATCTATATTAGACCACACCTAGATTATTGCAGCTAAGCACCTTGTCCACGTTTTATTCAGGACAGCGACACACCCGATCGTATGTTAGTTAGTTAAGGGTCTTTACAAAGTCCATTATGATGAGCGTTTAAAATACCAGAACTCTTTCCTCCTGACGTATTGTACAACGACAGGAGACTTTATACTAGAATTTCATATTCTATAACAGCTATTTAAATATTGATCTCATATTTTACCCTCTCCAGAACTACTCATCTCCGAGGCCATGGCAATTAGGTTCGAAAACAACGATCCAATAAACTCAGAGTGTTGTTCCATTTTCTCAACGAGTGGTCATTGACTAGAAAACTTCAACTGAACAAACGAACGTTTTCGAAAGTTAGCTGGGCCTTCACTGGAAGGTAGGCTTTAGGGATTAATGGAGGTTTCCCGATTTACTATCCTCATTAAAGAAGACAGAAGACAGACCTCAGATTAAGGCAATCTGGAAATCGAAACTAGGAGCAGATAGTTTAAACCATTATAAACATAGCTTATTAAACTATCAAAATTTCACAATTAATGTATTTCATTTTTCACTCTTGTTTTTCCCTATTGTATGTACGTCTCTGTTTTCCGAAGTCAGTGCAGTTCGCAAGGCGCCTCTTTCGACTCTTCAGCGTTGCGGCGGCTTTATTGTGTTCGGAATAGCAATGTCTGAAAAAGCCAGCTGTGAATATGGCACACCTAAGTATTACGCGCTTTGTGGTCTCGGTGGAGTTCTAAGCTGTGGTCTCACACACACCGGAGTAGTCCCATTGGATCTGGTTAAATGTCGTTTGCAAGTTGACCGAGCTAAATATAAAAATATTTCTCATGGATTTAAAATCACCATTGCCGAAGAAGGCATACGAGGTTTAGGAAAGGGTTGGGCACCAACGTTTTTCGGGTACTCTCTCCAAGGACTGGGAAAATTCGGGTTTTACGAAGTGTTCAAACACATATACAACGGTTTCCTATCTGAAGTAGGTTACTTAAAATTCTACTCATGAAATCTTGTCAAGGAAAACGCGTATTTATGGAGAACATCTGTGTACCTGGCGGCCAGTGCCAGTGCAGAATTTTTCGCTGATATTATGCTTTGTCCCATGGAAGCTGTGAAAGTACGAATACAAACAATGCCGGGTTGGGCTAGTACACTCAGAGAAGGTGTACCAAAAATGTACAGAAATGAAGGCCTTGTTGGATTCTACAAGGGTCTTCCTCCGCTATGGGGACGACAAATCCCGTACACAATGATGAAGTTCGCTTGCTTCGAACGCACTGTGGAAGCATTGTACAAGCATGTTGTACCAAAACCACGCGAAAAATGTTCAAAAAGTGAACAGTTAGTTGTAACTTTTGCAGCGGGTTACATCGGTGAGTAAAGTTTGTAAATTTCTTATATCCATAGCGGGTGTATTTTGTGCTATCGTATCCCATCCTCCTGACACAATAGTGTCGAAATTAAATAAGGATCCAAATGCACGCCTGGTGGAAGTTGCCAAAAATTTGGGGCTAATGGGTAAGTCATCGATTGATCTTACAGAGCTTTTGACTTTCCGCTTGTTATCTAGTAAACGCAGTTGATTTAATTTACTAACCGACTAATGGTCCGTAAGACTGAAAGGGTTACATTTCAAATCATAATAAGTGTTATATCTTCCAAAGAATAGTGTTTGTAGAGTATCATAAGTAGTTAGTAATTCTGGTAATGCTATCTTCACACAAAGAATTAAGTGGCCAAGAAAGTCTACTATGGTTTAAAAATCCGAGGTTCAACAATAGAACTAAACCAATATGCTTGCTGGAATTTTGCTCATAGAGAACGCGACTTTGTGCAAACATTAGAAGCAAATATGTAGAAAGAAGACATATGTAGTGGCTAGTTTCCATTTAAACTCGATGGTCGTTCTTCCAGGTCGATGACACCGCCACTGATAGACGACTTTCAAGACCTCCATACACCAACAACACTTCAGTTCCGTTCGTCACCGATTCTCATCGTTCACTCCATTTTCTTGGTTTTCACTACCTAACTTCATTGACCCTACGATAAAAGTATTAATCCCTGTTTTCTGGCCTTGTGTCAAACAAGACGGGATTTTATTAGCTAAATGCTAAAATTTTTAGGAGCTTATCTCATACTTCTGAAGTCCGCTTACAGAATCCAAGTGTGGTCTTCAGACTTCAATTTTCACAATCCATCCTTAAAATATATATTGGTCGTTATTCAACAAAATAGCCTGAAGTTCTAAAAGTTATGTAAATTTCAGAGCCGAACTCTTGTCATTTGTCGTTTGTTTACTGTCTGAATAAGTAGCGTAAGAATTTAGAAGGGTCAAGATCGATACCTCCGCCTTCTTTGTTCCCTTTATGCTTTTCCACTAGAAGTCGGGCACTAACCAATGACAAAGAAAAAATGATATAAATAAAACACGGTCACAGTGATCTAGATATTATTCATCTGTGAGTCGTCAACAATGTGTAATTGGATACTTTTCATCTTCCTATTTCCCTTGTTTTCCTCAAACTTATTTTTCACTTGCCTTTCATTACTCTACTTATTAATATTAGGATCACTACCTTGACTTCTCTTTAGTTTGTTTACCTGTGCGACAACTAGGAATAATGATAACTAGTGTGTAGTCCTATTCTGTAAGAATATCAAGAATTGGTGACATGCTTTACTCTCCTTAGGCGAATATTTTAGGAGTTGTACTACTTTAATTTTTAACACTAATATTTGTTTCAAATTGATTTCATCTTACGGGGTATTCTGCGAAAATAGCAGCAGATTTACAATTTGTTTCGTATTCCGGACAGTCAATTCTAATTGTGCTGTTTTACAACTTCAAAATGTCGCACAAGCAAATATGCCTTAGATAAATCAATGCTGGTAAAACATCATTGACACGAAAATCACATCAAACAACAATGTAAAATTAAGCAGTATGAAATGATTCTTAACTTCTGGAGAGTGGGTGACATGGCTCAGAGCCGATCACAATAGCGTCTGTGTATACACTCTTTGTCTTCCTTTAAATAATGAGAATAAAATTACTTTATACCTTCTTTTCTTCCTGTATTATATCCTTATACACAATATTTCTATATATATATATATATATATATATATATATATATATATATATATATATATATATATATATATATATATATATATATATATATATATATATATATATATATACCTGCTTGGACTCCGACCATGCCCTAATACGGGCACGCATCTGCTTGCGCCTCACTGGACGCAAAAAAGCCACATTAAAAAGACCCGTTAGAACTGAGTTGAGTAACGAGAAAACCAAAAGTAGGTTCCAGGAACAACTGAGGTCACACTTAGGTAGTTGTGAAGACGAGGCTGACCCAGATGTTGCTTGGAAGGCATACAATCAGCTGTGGAAACAGCAGTGACATCTATTAGTGACTTAAACCACAGAGTTACAAGGAACCAGTGGATTTCTTCAAGGTCTGTCACACTGATGGATTCTCGCAAACTCGTCCCATCAGGTTCTGAACATGATGAAGAGCGTAAACAAATCAGATCTAGGTTAAGAAAAAGTCTAAGGAACGACCGTGAGCAGTGGTGGGTAACGAAAGCAAAAGAGATGGAAAAGGCGGCGACTATAGGGAACACAAGACAGCTTTACAGACTAATAAAAGAAACTGGAATTAATAAGTCAAGTGTAAGTGAGATTATTTCGGAAAAAGATGATACTCTCATCTGCTCCCAGTCCAGACGTTTAGAACGATGGGCGGAACATTTTAGAGAACAGTTCAGCTGGCCTTCAGCTACTCTACAACTACCCTCCATTCCCAGACAAAGTGAATGGAACATTGAAGTAGGTCCCCCAACTCTTGCTGAAGTTGAGAAGGCTATAGTTAATCTGAAACGAGGAAGGGCAGCTGGTCCAGATGGATTGGCTCCAGAGGTCTTTAAGGATGGTGGTCCAATTTTAGCGATTAGGTTGACTAATATTTTAGCTAAGATCTGGGAATTAGACGTTATCCCATCTGACTGGTCGCAATCACTTATCGTCCCAATATATAAGAAAGGGTCAAAATCATCCTGTGACAACCACAGAGGGATTAGTTTAACAAACATAGTATCTAAAATACTGGCCTCGATAATTATCAAACGCCTAACTAAGACTCGTGAACTACAAACACGAGAGAACCAAGCTGGCTTTAGACCTGGTCGTGGCTGCATCGACCACATATTCACCATTCGTCAGGTTCTAGAACACAGGCATACCTATCGGCGTCCGACGATGGTGGTCTTTCTTGACTTAAAAGCAGCATTTGACTCTGTAGACCGCGAGACTCTGTGGCAGTGTCTGTCATTGAAAGGCGTACCTCAGAAGTACATAAACCTTGTGAAGGCTCTTTACTCGAACACTACTAGTCGAGTCAGGGCTTATGGCGAACTGTCATCTACTTTTGCAACCTCAAGTGGTGTCCGTCAAGGCTGCCCACTTTCTCCATTTTTGTTTAACTTCATCATAGACCTATTGATGGAAATAACACTCTCGTCGACTGAATTCTCGGGTATTGATCTCCTTCCAGGAGGTCCACTTATCGACTTAGAATATGCAGATGACATAGTCCTGTTTGGTGAAGACGCTGACAAAATGCAGAGTCTTCTGGTAGCACTAAGCAACAATGCCAGAATGTTTGGGATGCGCTTCTCTCCCTCTAAATGCAAGTTGTTGCTTCAGGACTGGTCTGCGTCAACACCTGAACTAAGGATAGGGAGTGAAGTAGTCGAACGAGTTGACAACTTCACTTATCTTGGAAGTCTGATCAGCCCTAATGGGTTGGTGTCTGACGAAATCTCAGCACGGATTCGTAAAGCTCGTTTGGCTTTTGCCAACTTACGTCACCTTTGGCGGAGGCGAGATATCCGTCTATCAATAAAAGGACGAGTATACTGCGCGGCTGTCCGTTCTGTTTTAATTTACGGCAGCGAAACATGGCCCTTAAGAGTAGAAGACACCCGTAAGCTACTAGTATTTGACCACAGATGCCTTAGAAATATTGCTGGCATCTGCTGGGATCACCGGGTAAGTAATAGTGAGGTTAGACGCAGGGTATTAGGGAATGATGGTAAATCAGTTGATGAGGTTATGAATCTTCATCGACTGAGATGGTTGGGCCACGTATTACGTATGCCTGAACACCGATTACCGCGACGTGCAATGCTAACCGGTGTAGGGGATGGTTGGAAGAAAGTTAGGGGCGGCCAAACCAAAACGTGGCATCAGTGCCTGAAGTCACTAACTTCTAGTCTGAGCCATGTTGGTAGATGCAGACTACTTGGTTGGGGTCCGCGTGACTTTCGTAACCAATGGTTGGAGACCCTTGGTGACATGGCTCAGAATCGATCACAATGGCGTCGGTGTATACACTCTCTGTCTTCTCTTAAACTAAGAGATTAAGATCACTTCACATCTTTCTTTCTACGAACTAATTCTTTCTTCCTATACTATATCCTTATTGCAATCTTTCTCCTATATATTACCACCTTTGACCTAACCACTCCTATGAATCCGGTGTTCATCTTGCTGTGCTAATGAGGTATGGCAACCTGGGCCGATGCATACATGTGCCTGGTCCTACGTTGTAGCTAACTGACTGTGCGCAAAATGAAACATTCTTCCCGAGCAGTTTCTGCTTGGAAGGAACCTGCCAGTAGATGGATTTTCTACCGGCACATCACTGTGTAGGTGGCACTACTAAGCTAGCCATCACATATCTTTTGTGATCGCGCACTCCTTAAAGTGTAACCGGAATGCTGGTCTCACTGAGTCACTGTGCGCAAAATGAAACATTCTTCCCGAGCAGTTTCTGCTTGGAAGGAACCTGCCAGTAGATGGATTTTCTACCGGCACATCACTGTGTAGGTGGCACTACTAAGCTAGCCATCACATATCTTTTGTGATCGCGCACTCCTTAAAGTGTAACCGGAATGCTGGTCTCACTGAGTCACTGTGCGCAAAATGAAACATTCTTCCCGAGCAGTTTCTACTTGGAAGGAACCTGCCAGTAGATGGATTTTCTACCGGCACATCACTGTGTAGGTGGCACTACTAAGCTAGCCATCACATATCTTTTGTGATCGCGCACTCCTTAAAGTGTAACCGGAATGCTGGTCTCACTGAGTCACTGTGCGCAAAATGAAACATTCTTCCCGAGCAGTTTCTGCTTGGAAGGAACCTGCCAGTAGATGGATTTTCTACTGGCACATCACTGTGTAGGTGGCACTACTAAGCTAGCCATCACATATCTTTTGTGATCGCGCACTCCTTAAAGTGTAACCGGAATGCTGGTCTCACTGAGTCACTGTGCGCAAAATGAAACATTCTTCCCAAGCAGTTTCTGCCAGTGAATGCATTATTTGCTTGCGCACGCTACTGCGTATTGTTTACACCATATGGAGGAAAGATTATGATGTTAAATACAAATGCAGTAGTGATATCTGTGGTTATATAAATGATTAGGCGCGTGACATATAATGTGAGAAGAATAAATCTGTCGAATGAAACTTCAGAAATTTCGAAATTATATCCAGTGTTAAACAAAATGAATGCGTCTGTGTTACTGTGATTGATTTTGGGTCATATCAAATAGTCTTCACTTACTAACACTGTTCAGTCCAACAGCCACTGACTTCACAGACCGATGCCACGTTTCGGTCTGACTCTTCCTATCCTTCTACTGACCTATTCTTATGGCAGACAACACTGCGTGTTAAGGGTTTTTGCATCTGCATAATACATGTCCCAGCCACTTCAGTTGGAGAATAACAATCTCATTAACTAAATTACCATGTTTTCCTGGAACCTTGAGCACTGTACACTCAGTGGCCCCATCAGCCTTCCCAATGCCTTTAAGATATGTATGTTCAGGGCACTCAGATTTATCAAACGCTAAAAAGGGGTTCACTATCACACAATATTGAGTCTATAAGTTGGTTTATCTAAAAGAATATTGCCACCAAACTAGAGTCTGTACGAAACTATTTTAAACAGTTAGAGCTTAATTCCAGCACTCGGTTTCTCAAATATATGATTGATAGTATTGCAGTAAAAATGTTGTGGAAAATGGGCCTGCTTACCAATTAGTATTTAAGGCAACGAATAAAGAACATTATGAATATAAATTAGGCTTATAGCGGTAAGTCACGAGACCCTATCGATTGTGAACCAGTACCCTGACTAGAGGTAACGATATATAATTTTAAAGAAAGTCAACGTCGTTTGTGGTGATTTATTCAGTTGGATTATTTTTTAAACACATAACACGACCACACATGATTACAATGTCCTGTTTTCACGTATCCTGACTAGTTTATGTAGGTACAACACACTTCGACTGTTAGGGAGTTAAATACATTATTCTGATTTCCATAACTTAACCTATTCTGTCTGCAAGTTGATTTTGTTCATGTAAACTAAGCATAAATAAACTATTGTCATCCATTATTCCGATAAAGTGTCTTACTAACACATCTTGAATGACTATACCCAAAGATCTTAGAAATCACTTTGATCAAATTAATGTTTTTGTCTTTTCATATGACACAAATTGACTAAGACTACACTAAAAAGGTTATTTCCATACTTCAACTGGTAATTCTTGACTGTAATCATGAATTGCACAAGAAAGAAATCAGATCCTATTATTTTAGTTCCTTTCATGTGTCTGGCGGTCTTTTCAAACATAAATTAACACGCTTCACGATTATCTAGGTGTATACTCGGTCTCAAGCCGCTTTTCCAAAGGGTATTCATTTTTAAGGTTACCTAAAATGGTATACATAAATCATAAAGATGAACATATTATTCATTCTTAATCCAGGAGATTGGATCGATGGACAGAACATTTTAGGGATCAGTTCAACTGGCCTTCAGCCACACTTCGGTTTCCCACAATCTCCAGTCAACCTGAATGTCAAGTTAATGTAGATCCTCCAACTCTTTATGAAGTTGAAAAAGCTATAGGAAATCTGAAGCGTGGGAGAGCAGCAGGCCCTGACAGGTTTACTCGTGAGATTTTTATGGATGGCGGTCCAGTATTAGCAGTGAGATTAACTGAGGTCTTAGGTAGAATTTGGGAACTGGACATAATCCCATCTGACTGATCTCAATCACTGATTGTGCCAGTCTATAAGAAAGGACAAAAGTCCTCTTGTGACAATCACAGAGGGATCAGTTTGACAAATATAGTGTCTAAATATATTAGCTTCAATAATACTTCGACGCCTAACTAAAGCTCGTGAAGAGCAGATTAGAGAAAACTAGACTGGTTTTCGACCTGGACGTGGTTCTATAGACCATATATTCACACTACGTCAGGTTCTAGAACACAGACACTCGTTCAGACGCCCCACCATCGTAGTATTTCTCGACCTTATGGCGGCATTCGACTCTGTTGATCGTGAAGTCCTATGGCAGCGTTTGTCACTGAAAGGAGTACCAAAGAAGTACATTAACCTTATAAAGGCTCTCTACTCGAACACAACTGGTAGAGTGAGAGCTTATGGCGAACTGTCATCAGAATTGATTACCTCAAGTGGTGTTCGTCAGGGCTGTCCACTCTCTCCATTCTTGTTCAACTTTGTCGTCGACGTACTTTTAGAGATGACACTTTCCTCGTCTAGATTTCCAGGGGTTGAACTTCTACCAGGAGGTTCACTTGTTGACTTAGAGTATGCTGATGACATAGTTTTATTTGATGAAGACGCTGACAAAATGCAGAGTCTTCTGACCACTCTAAGCAACAATGCAAGCATGTTCGGAATGCGATTCTCTCCCTCAAAATGCAAAATGTTGCTTCAGGATTGGGTTGCATCGACAACCGAACTAATGATAGGGAGTGAAGTAATTGAGCGTGTCGATCGCCTCACTCATCTTGGAAGTCTCATCAACCCTTGTGGTCTGGTGTGTGACGAAACCTCAGCACGGATACAGAAGGCTCGACTAGCTTTTACCAACTTGCGTCATTTATGGCGTAGGTGAGATATCCGTCTATCAACCAAAGGACGTGTTTACTGCGCAGCAGTTCGTTCCATCCTACTTTATGGCAGTGAAACGTGGCCGGTAAGAGTAGAGGATATTCGTAGGTTACTAGTATTTGATCATAGGTGTCTTCGAAATATTGCTCGTATATCGTGGGACCATCGAGTAAGTAATGCGGTTGTTAGGAAACGGGTACCAGGTAAGGATGGCAAATCAATTGATGACGTAGTGAAACTTCATCAGTTGAGATGGCTGGGACATGTGTTACATATGCCCAACGACCGACTGCCTCGACGTGCGATGTTTTATTGTATAGGAGTAGGTTGGAAGAAAGCTAGGGGCGGCCAGACCGAAACATGGCACAAGTCCATGAAGTCACTGACAAGTAGACTGAGTCATATTGGTAGGTGTAGACTACCTGGTTGGGGACGGCGAGATGATAGCAAGCGATGGTTAGAGACCTTGAGGGACATGGCTCAGAATCGTTTGCAGTGGTGCAGGTACATCCACTCTTTGTGTTCTCCCAAATTCTAATCTTCTGAATTCTTCATGTCCCTTTCTTTTTTCTCTTTCCAAATTTATTTCACTGGATTATACTCCTTGAATAACATCTTCAAACCCTAGTTTTTCTGATTACAGCTTATAATTTTACTACACCTAGCACTGCGGGATTTGAATCGACCACTGCATCTCTATGCTAATGTGGTGTGGCAACTCGAACTAATGTACGTACGTACGAAGTTCTACATTGTTACTGACTGACTGACACATAAGGCATCATCCGGACCGTCAAGCTAGCGTTTTAAAGTACTTGAGGTTCAACTATTGACCTTGCATCAGTAAAAACCAGATGCCATCACTAGAAGTTGGAGGAATTCATTCTGACATAAGACAGCTTACTGAAGAACCAAAACCCATCTTGTTACCACTCACAAATTTAGTCTTCTGAATTCTGTCAGTCTTCTATCCGAATCACCAATTCATTGCTTTTCTATCAAGTAGCTTATCTGTAAAATAGACCCGTGTTGTTTATATCCGAGGTAATATCATACATGTGCTCCCTCTTACCTTAAAATCTAAGCACTGATTTTCACAAGATATATAATATTTGAGGATTGAGTAGTGTCAATCATCTACTCTTAATGGTTGTTTTGCTAGTCGAGATTCCGTTTCGTTTACATTGGTCTGGAGACCTCAGCAATACCATTAATCACCACACAATCTATTTAACTTAAAGTTGATCGCCTAGATATGTACTTAACAATCTTTTTTAATTTTTAATTAAGGTATGTGGAGCGGATTGGGTCCTCGTATTATCATGATTGGAACATTAACAGCCTTACAATGGTTCATTTATGATGGCTTTAAAGTAGCAATGCAGTTGCCGCGTCCCCCACCTCCATCTATGCCGGAGTCGTTGAAGCAAGTGCATTGATGTAGTCTACCAAATGTATACAACGCTCCATATTTTATCCTAGTCCTGTCTAACACTTATTTACGTGAAAGACCTAGTTTGTAGATCTGAAAATATTGAATATAGTATATTTGAAATAATTTCTCATGGAAATCTAGTGTTTATATACAATTTAAAAAAAGATTGTTGAATCTGAGTACCAGTTCGAATACGTCTTCTGTTTGGCTTGGAAGCTAAGAGTTTGGGAGTTTCTTTATACAATGAAAAAGAGTCATCATCGTCTACACAAAAACTATCCATCTGATATTCATCCTGTTCTGGGGTCTACAACAAAGATTAAATGATTTCTGTAAAGATTTTGTGCACACTAAACGTAATATTAAATTGCATTATATATATATATATATATATATATATATATATATATATATATATATATATATATATATATATATAGCGTTAAAAGTTACAATAAGCATCACTAAGTGTTACCATACAATTTACTAATCAGAATTGATTGAATCATAGGTTTGAAACTTTTTGGATGTCAGATACATATTGCCGTTCTCCATGTCAACGGATCTAGTCATTCCTGTTGAATTCCTAAAAATCCAAACCAACTGGAAATCAGGTTTTTTTAATAAGACAAAATGGATTGCCCGAAATGAAACGGACCCAAAGAATTGAAAAAATTCTGGTTCTAAACTTGGTAAAAACATATGAAAGCTTGTGAACGGGGCGAAGCTACATGTTGTCCATATTTTTCGATCCACAACTGGCAATTACTCATATGTCCTGATACGCGGCTGTCGTAAATATCTGTGCTCTAAATTATGCACAGGCGTTTTTTATGTTGAACTACAATACCTGAGATGTGATTAGTTGTATAACTAATCTGTTAGCGTTCGTTCAAATTAATAGCCAAAAGAGAACAGACGATTTTAACTCAGCCTAATTACGCAGTTGTTTAGAGACAACTTAGTAGCTGGAATCCAGTCATATCATCTTGCTTTTAAATTCTGAGTGGCACTAAAAGGCCTGGTTCCATTAGCGTCGTCAGACGTAAGCAAGCATGAAACGCTTTGTAACTGACAGTTTGAGAATTTCCTTACGGTACTGATTGTTTTAGATACAAAATATGCAAGTAGCAAGGTTTAGAATGACGGCCAAGTATATCTATTTGGAGATGTCATCGTTTATAGCAAGCTCGATTAGCACTCGTAATTTGTTTGGTGCTTTAGGTGCACAAACGGAAGCAAGCAAGCATCTTGATGAGCAGCACTGTCTAGTCCACAAGACTGCTATACGTTTTCGTGATCACTAGTACAAAAGAACCTGACATTTAAACCAATTTTATCACTATACATAGGACTCTCATAAATACCGAATAAGATTCGGTCTTCTAAGAGCACTATTAATATCATATTATTACTGAGGCATTACCGTAGATTCATATAAATATGACTAAGAAAAGTACAAAACTATATCATTGAAATGACGTGTAACATACGAACTAACCTGCGAAAATATAAAGGAATTTGGCATATCATCACGATTCTCAGATATTTTCGGCAAAATGTCTCTTTTGCTGACCCATGGGTTTCTGACATTGCCTGGAAATATTTGTGGACTCCGAATGCTCTGGAGGTAAATTTTCATGTCAGATCGAGATGAATCGCACGTGATATTCGCGCATTCGTCGTTTATGAAACTGTCATCATACATATCTTGATCTTCAGAATGAAGCTGGTCAGATGACTCATTACTCGTACACTCCGCCTGTGATAAAAACAATTTAGATCCAGCGTATTTAGTATTTTTGATTCCCACTTTTTTGTTCAACCGGTTCGATAATGTAAACTCGCTGACACTTTCGTGAAATATTCCCGATAATTCTTTGTCAGTAGTTTCACTAGAGTTGTTGTTTTTCGTTTCATTTTTAGGAACGGTTTCAATGTTGTTTAGTTTTATTGGTGACGACGAATATAATAAATCATCTGTATTAAGTACCTCTGTTACCTGTTCTACTGGGGACCAATTAATTTGTGAGTCAAAAGAACTGTTGGAAGCAGTAGAGAAACAACCGTTTTTTAATCTGTCCACATCACTATAGGTGCCCATTTTTTCAGTGGTTTGGGTAGACTTAATAATATCACCCAGCTCTGTCCCTAAAGAGAGTTTTGTTTCAAAAGTAAAAAGGTCGACTGATTTGTGGAAACCGCTCAACTGCTGAAATGGTGAACCAGCAAAAATAACACTTTGGGTAGTAGTAGGAAGCTGAGGATTCGTTAGTTCTTCATCTAATAAAGTTGATGCATCCAGGTGAATAGTTGAATTCTCCAGTAAAGCTAACGCTTCATCAGGATTAACTTGACTAGATGAAGAAATTATAAGTGGCTTTACACAACTTCGTCCAAAAGGAGTGCTTTGAGCTAAACTAATCACTGTGTTAGGTAGGCTGAAGGTTTGAACAATATCTTTTAGCTGCTTATCGTGAAATTGACTATCGATTGTGTGAAGGCACTTCGTGGTTAGAGTGTTTTCCTCAGAATTCGGTAGTTCTGTATTAATTGCTTCAAGTAAACTATTTTCTATACTTAGCTTAAGATTCAACTTTGGGCTTGAAGAAATTGTAGGTGAACTGTGATTTTGATCAATCATGAACTCTAACCACTTATTTAGTGCAGTTTGTAGGGATGCCATTGTAATAGGCTCATGGTTATTAGCGTTAATATTATGAAGTATTTGAGTGAACTGTTTTGTGCAGTCTGTTAGTTCGTTAAGATGAGGGTCGAAAAATACTTTGTTAGACACTAAACCTTTGACTATTCTAAGATCTTGGATAATATCTAATACCGGGTTGGATATCTCTGAAGCTGGCAGAGTATTGGTAGTCTTGATGGTAGTCAATTCATCAAGATCATGATGACATTGTGAAGAGCTATGGAAATCTAACTGGCTATTGGGTGGCGAAGAACTTATTTTTAATAATTCACTCATTTTTGTATTAATATCAATTTTCCGTATACCCAGAGCATGGTAAGAAAGTTGTGTCATACTACGACGATGCATTTCAACTAGCCGGAGGATTGACATGAGGTGTTGCGACGAAGAGGATGAACCAACATTTGATCCTGGGATTAGACTAGATTGCATAGTTTCTCTGAAGACTGCTAATCTTTCTTGAGATGTCAGATTGTAAATGTCTGTGACTGTTGGGTGGTCTGAATTAAAAGTATCCACATCATCAAATTTTGATATATGTTGAATTCGACCTAAGGAAGGGGGGTATAACCTAATATGCAGCCTATCCAGTTTAACAGACTCCGCATGCAATCTGTAGATGTCTTCATACGAACTCTTCTTCTGAACACCTGGCTGCTTTTGTCCCGATATTTGATTGGTAAAAAATTTCTCTGTTCGTAAACATTTGAACTGGAGTTTAGGATGAACACCAATCGGTACCATTCTTGGATTATGTGGATAGAAAGCAAGTTTACAATAAGCGTTTCCCTCAAGCAAAGCTTTGTGAACAGAAGAAGTTCTCGCGATACTAACGGCATGATTCCTTTCTTCACGACCTTCTGTTAGTAGCACAACAATACGTCCCAGACGCTTGCGACCAGTTCGACCTTGACGTTGCATTAGTTGAATTGGTGATTTTGAAGCATCAAAGCAAACTATTAGATCAACTTGTCCAACATCAATACCCTCTTCACCGACACACGTTGACACTAGGGTGTTATAAACGCCTGACCGGAAACCATCCATAACACGTATCTGATCACGTTGTGATATTCCACCCTGAGCATTTGACAGTCGCGGGTTTTTCAAACTGGGTGACTCATGATTATTTAATTGAGGACTTCCATTTACTCTTGTTCCTTGTCCAATAAATGATGCAGGTCTAATTAGTGGCCTTAATGGTTTAAGCATATGCATAATTTCTTCAACCGAGTCGCGAAACTGCGTAAAAACTATTACGCGTGTGGAGCTTCGTTCATGCGTGTTTTTTCCGTCTTCAAAATGACTAAGCAAAACATCTCTTAGTTTATCAAGTTTGGGATGACCAGCCAAAAAAGGTGCTTGGGAATGCAATAGATCTGTATGAATTAACTCTTGTCTCCAAGTACCGTCAGTGCATTCTACATTCATGCCGAATCGCTGAGCTAATTCTATCCATAAATGATTCATATTTGGAAGTCTATTAAGCTGACTCCTAACCAATGGACTAGCTCGATTTCCAGAATAAACACCCTCTAAGTAGCGATAGAGGGGACGTAACCCATGTTGAACCAACAGTTCCAAGCCATGAAGCAAACATATAACTACGGCGAAGTCACACTGAATTGAACTGTTTTCTGTTGAATTAATACTAGAAGACGTTTGCGAAGACCATTTTTCTCGTGCTTTAATAACTGTGTATTTCGCTAGTTTTTCTGGACGAAGATCACCATAACACTCTGAGAGTGCACGACGTTGGTAAAGTCTATCGAGGGGCACACGAATACACTCAATTAATTGATTACGATATCGTGTCAGTTCCGGACCAAGAGGAACAACTACTGCTTCTAGCTCCCGATGTTGTGTGTATGGTCGGACGTCGGCACTAGTGTCAGTTCGAAGCTCAAGGTGGGATATAAGTAAGTTTGCAATCAATGTTTGTACCCCTTCAATATCAGCTGCAGGTGTAGCGGACAAAGCAACAATCCGAAATTGTCGATGAGTGTACGGTGGATTAGTCAGAATTCGCAATACCTATTTTGTGAAGAAAAATTAGAATGCATAAAATACAAATGTTCAGATTAATATATTTAGAAACAAACTATCTAATACACCGAGAAAATATAAATTGAGAATAAACGAATATGAAACAGCATTGGATTTGAAAATTAATCTTAATTTCATTCAGTCTTCGTTCCAAAGAGTGACTTAAAAAATCGATAGACAATTCATGATGGATGTTTTGCAGCAACTGTTCGCGATAAACAGTAGATAGTTGAATTACTTTTGAGTAATGTTATGATTACCAACACAAAGCTTCACATTTATGTACACTTAAGTAACCTTTCGTTAAAACAAACGCTTTATCTGAGGCCTAGACATTTCATCAAATTGTCAAGAAATGGTTACTGAACTGATAATTTTCTTATCAACACTACTACATCACCAGTGAAGATATAGAAACAAACAAAATGTAAAATATCCGATCACAATGAAAACAGTTCAAATCACTTTCATGTCAAAATACTACAGTGAAGAATGCGATAAAACTAAAACAGGATTGCCGCTGGCCTTTATTCTGATTTGTGTTTGGTTACGTCTTAAGTTGCTGAGTGACGAGATGGGTATGACCTCAATTACGAAGTGGTTGACTGGCAGATGACAACCCCAAACAGCTATCTTATATACCATCATCTCATGTCGTAAACCGATCACCATTTCCACTCTTACCACCAGTGCCAGTAATTAATACATGGTGTGAAAGCCGATGACACAACATACGTATAACTAGCGAAGTTGATGTTTCGAAATGGTGATACCAACTGGATTGTTGTCAGTGTGACTGAAAGTACATTTCTGAACATCGGGATTGCTAACACGGGATTGCTATTGTAAGTAAGCAATTAGTTTGAGATAATGATGGTTAGACAGAGTCATCAAAGTTTTTCCTCTCGGAGAGATCAGATTTTACATGCATGATTCAAAAATAATCTTAATGAGGAGTTGCACACTTGACGTCTTATACCAAGACTAACACCATACAACATTTACGAGCATCAGTGCCACTCTGTGGAGGGTGATCACGATAGCCTGTGTGTCAACGCAAATTGAGACAACGCCATTCGCATACTTCCTTCAGTGACGTTCCTAGAATTCATACTGTGATAAAATCGAAGAGGAATTGTGGAATATGGAAATACCTTTGTTATATCAGGACAATAGAGGTAGTTTTATGCTTTCCCCTGTTTGTGGCATCGTGTATAGAGCCTTCGAACTACTCTACAATGCCTCATAAACGAATTTTCGGACAGACAATCTAAATAAAATAGAATATAACTGACAATCTATTTAGGCTTGATTTGATGTGGCTAATCTAACAACATACTACTTGTCTTTAGTCCGTTAAATGAACCATTACATCATTTTCCATAGTATATTAAAATGGTATTTTATAAACTTTTAAGTTATTGTCTTTTTCATTCACATTAGTAATTAGTTATTATTCACCAAATAATGAAGTTAATTCGGTGAATACATGAAATTAAAATTATATCCCAAGAAACTGTTCATTTTGACAATATGTACGATGAAGCATTTTAGAATTATCCTGGGATTACATCAAAGTCACGTATAATGGGAACCTTATTGGTCCCCCGAGATAGTAGCTTCTCGCCAGCCGGTTCAGTCTAGAACACCAATATCAACCTCGGCTATATGCATCATGCATTTCAGATATACATAGTTTATATACAAGCAAATCAGACAGCATCATGCCATAAAATAGAAAGTAATAATTATACAAGATCAGGCCAAAAGTGACTGTGATTGTGAGGTATTGTAATTAATAAATCGGGCATAACTTAAGAATAGTAAATCGTATAATAGTAGTCAATAGATCAAATGGAAGCTTACAATAAAAGGAATGTGAATATATATTTAATATGGTTACTTAATAGTTATAAGAATATATATATATATCATAAAGGTTCGTGAATAGATTCTGACCGTTACCATTCACTTATTCTTGCTCCGGATGTAACATTTTTGACGCCATCATTTAAATACTTTTGGAAACAATAATGAAACACCGTAAAACGCTTATAAGTTCATGATTTAAATATTCAGTCAAACTAACGGATCGATAAATGAATACCTGGAAAATATGTAGTTATATTAAATTAGAATGTTTTAGTACATTTAGATGTGAATAGGTCAGTGAATGAAGACTATGACAGAAATTTGAGAAACATATCTAATTTTTCTATTTATAGCTGAATTAAGTTGTTGCTTTGTTGTAACAATTATTACAGACCGTGTTGGTAAAATAAAATGACAGGCGTGACTTCGTGTATATTAAAAAGAAGGGACTATACAGAACTTCAAATAAAAGAGTATCCATTTGAATTGCTATACGTCCCAACACGGAAATAAAAAATCAGAAATGCAAGGATATTAAAATAAACAAGAGTTAAGAGAGTAGAAGAAAAGGGGGTGAAGAATTCTTAACGACCTTAGCTAGGGTAGCCTACATTTACTTTCACTGATTATAGTATGCAAAATAATTCATAATCAAAAATGACAGACCAAATAA